GGTGCTGAGGTGCTGAGAAGGTGCTGAGGTGCTGAGAAGGTGCTGAGGTGCTGAAAAAGTGCTGAGGTGCTGGGGGTTCCAAATCTGCACTTTCCTCCTTGCGTTAACACTGGATTTTCAGTCTGAGTGTAGATTCAATACAAGTTTCGATGCTGAAATTGATTTTCTATTCAAGCAAGCATGTAACCTTCTTTCAATTATAATTAATTGTAATAATTCTGAAAGGATGAAGCTAATAACTCTCAATGCTATATGCCTGAAGTTACGTCGTCATGTCAAATGTCTCGATACTCAAGTCACGTATGCGGAAGATGCCATATTAATTTTGAACCAAGTTGAACCTTTATCATATGTCATATTTCGATGCGACAAAGATAACATGGATAGTTTTATCTGTAAAATATGTAGACATCTTTCATACATGAACAGAGATTTAGTATATCAGTTGCTGTCTGAAGAATTTAGGAATTTCAGTCTATCTGATAATGATGATCCTGAGGACGCAGTACATTTTTGGCTTGGTAAACGTATTAGGCAACAATCAAACACATCAGTTAGTCACAAACGTATCAAACTAACTCACCACATTCACTAATTGTGATTCGTTGACTTTGTTCAATTCCATAAACAAGATCACAAATTTCTATGGAAAATGATTTTGCTAATTATATAGAAATAAAAATATTTTTATCATCTAGAATACTAATTTAATCTTTAATATACAATTTGAAGCGATTTCTTGTGCATCTAAGCCTTAATACATGTGATAATGATGAGAAACACTAAAATTACAGTCATGTAAAATCCAAAATACTTTCCTATGTAATTCTTGTAGAAACCTACCTTTAAATTAATGATAAACTCTCAAGTGCTCCGCACTAACAAATAGATACAATAGCAATAGCTCATTTGCATCAATCATTATCACCAGCTAAGAATTATGCTGAAAACAAGTAACGTTCGTCGCTTCGACTCACTTGACCCTCGACTGTATAAGGCAAATATATATTTCGTAAATATTGATAGCGATACAGATCTATTAATCCCCTCGTTGAAAGCGATGTAAATTTTTTCTGCAATTATAAACGTTAGAAAAAGTTTTGCCCACTTTATGAAATAATTTAATTAGTAAACTGTTTTAACAGACGAAATATTGCAGTATTGTGAGATGCTAATATATGCTCGCACAATAATTAGAAGAATCTTTAGATGGAAAGTTTTAGTCTTATAGTAGTAAATGCATAACTGATTTATTAGCAATAATGAATGTGTAAACTATTACAACAAAATGAAATATGTAATAAACATTGTTACATTATAAGTTTATAACATGAAAATAAGTAACTTTTTAAATAATATTGTATAATAATTCAGCAAGGATAATTACGAAATAAATATAACATAGTGAAATATGTAAGCAAAAGAGAGAAAAAAAATGTAATATAGAGATTATAACAATAAGAAGGAAACCTCCACCACGCTTCATGTAATGTAAGCATGGGATATTAATAATTCTAACAAAATTTTTTACAATATGAAAAAGACATTAAAACCACTCTGAAAAACGCTTTTGTGTTTCTAAATAAAGTTTATATAATCTTTCAATTTCGACAAGTTGTGATTTACTCGGTTTGATCAGTAAAACCTGGTAATCAAAATGTCGTAAAATTACGAGATCAGCCAAGCGTTTTACAAGCGACAAAGATACATAAATTGCAGCAATATCATCATTTTCTTTGGGTAGCTTCAAATTAATTACAACATTTTTTAAAGTTTGACCTTGACTTTTATGTGTAGTAATACAGTAAGCAGGTACGAGTGGTAGTGCACGCCGCTTTATTGATAAACTTGCCTTTTGATTTGATTTGGGCCTCTTATCTTTTGGTAAAACATCAGTAATACTAATTTGAAATGTTTGTTCATCAACGGTATTGGGACGAGATTTGATTGAAGTGATGTAAGATCACATTCGACCTCAGATTTGGCATTTTCAACTAATGCATATAAAGATCGATGAATGTATTATGAGTTATTTGGAAATGTGTCGGAAAGAACTTCTGTAGACACAGACTCTTCTTCAAAAACAAGTTGTCGAAAGATTTCATTCATTCCATTAATAAGACCCAGTTCAATAGCCATATTTTGAGTTAAAATAACTGGCATTCCAGGAACAAGAGTAAAAAGACCTGGTAAATGCTCCGTTTTACTATCAGATAATTCTAACAATTTTTTAATGAGTGTTGAGTTTTCAATTGGTTTGCCTTTTATGGTATCTTGAGCGGCACATATCATGGATTTTTGCCCCATTTCTTTTGCTTTGTGAATTACTGCTTATTATTCACTTGTGTTCTTACTTCGTTTCGGAACACAAGTATCGGTGACTTAACAAACAAAAGGAAAAAAATTAGTGGAAATAAAAAGGGAGACCTACTTTATTCCATGGTTAATCACGTAGAGAAGGTACTGATGGTTGTCCAACAACTCATGTTAATAATAATTCATAATTGTCACGATAACATTGCCCATTACGAAATCTTTCGAGCAATTAAAGATATTGTGGATCTTCTGTTTGCATTTGTTGAATAAGTTTTACGACACAGTTAATTTGAAGAATTAAAGACCGTGCAACACGTTGTTGAATTTCTTTTTCATTTGGCAATTGAGTTCAGTTTTTCTTTCGAAGGCATTTAAAAATCAGTGTATAGTGGTGAATCATATACAGGTCTATATTGTAAATAGTCTGCAAAGAAGATAACGTTCACACCATCGAATGGCACTTGAGGATCGCCATGTTTTGCAGTGCAAATGATTCGATTGAGTTTTGCTAGTAAAGTTAAACCAATTATACTCATTTCATCGATTAATAAATATTCGACGAGTCTCCATTCTCTTTCGAGTTTTGAATCACTTGGCTTGATAGTTCGTGGTTTTCCAGAATTACGCTGTTCACCCAAAAATGAATGAATAGTCCTACCACCTTGAGGGTGTGGGTGTGGAAGTTCCTTTGTTCTTCCATACCCTCACCCTCACCCACCCACACCCACACCCACACCCTCAAATACGGGAGTGAAATGAATGAACATGACCATCAAATATCAACATTTATGGTACGGATTAACTTTCGCTACCAGAGTTCGAATCATTTAAATTTTTCCATAGTAGATGCAGAATTTCAAGGGCTTTCAGAAAATATAAAAATTATTTTGGGACAGCGAGCCAAAGTATAATAATATGCAAAATATTGAAAAATTGCTGCAAAATCGAATTGTACTTTTTGCTTGTATATTGAAACTATGAATTAATAAAGTACATTGTAAAAATGATTCAGTTAATCAGTTTTGTAGAGAAAACATTTCTGCATCTTTTGAGATGTCTCCGGACTCAAACGGACGAGTGATTGCAGAGAAAAATCCAAAATACCGAGAACACCCTAAAAATTCTGTTTTTTGACCAAAGTCAAACCAGATGTCACATTGTATAATTCAAAACTTTTTAGTGGAGAGGTATAAAGATCTCATATTTTGGATTTATAAGGTTCTAATCATGGCCTATCGTTTCAAAATATCAAATCTAAAATCTAAATTTTGAGTGGTACCGGCTTGGTAGGTCGTCTGGCGGACCCTCTCTTAAGAATCACTTTATTTAGCCAAGAATGAATAATAATAATAATAATAATCAATACATTTTGTCAAAATAAGACTGAAAACTCTGAACATATGAAAAATAGGTTTGAGATTTCCTATGATTATTTGTTAATAGAGCAGAAAAATACACACATGTTTAATCATATAGAGAATACGAAAACTATTATGAGAAGGTAATGATCAATGTTGAACACATTTCAGTATATGTCAAAAGCAACGTATAATATTCATAACAATCTGTAAAATCGTTAAATTTTGAACAAGATGAAAAGTTGCCTAAAGTTATCTACACATTTATAAATGTGTTTTTCACATGTAACAATAAATGAAAAAGTTTAGTTTAAATATGAAAAGATAAAAATCATTATCATATATCTATGAGGATGTAAATGTGAATGATCATTGATTGAAATCATACCTTCAAGTATCTCCAACACGATCGATAAGCATCTGAGATTCACATAGATTTTCATTGCAAATCAAAATATCTGTATTATTTATTAAGATAAGAAAAAAACAAAGTGATAATATGAATGAATCAGTAAGAGAAATATATGTTATGTAATGAAGATTCTGTAATCATTTACTTTATCAATTATTTTAAATATAAAAGAATTAATATAACTATTGAAATTGAAGTTGAAATTGGAATATTTCACATACGATTAAGAGAAATTTATTGTCATAAAATCTTCAATCGATAGAATTATTATAATGAATGACGACATTATTTTTTTATTTATTACGTACAATAAAATTTCATTCTCTACAGATCGTAAATTTTCTTTTCAAATCTTCCTATTCTATTCAAAGTGTAATTCTGATAAAAATCAAACTACCAAAACTTGATAGAATAGTTTTTGATCTTTAGAATCTTATAAACTATCAACTTTTGATTTTCATGATTTGTAGTGACATTATTATCAATTTATTTTTCAATTCTAATAAAAATCAATGACTTCAACTATTTAACCAGAAAAATTTTATTACTGATGAATTTCAACATAATGATAATGATTAAAAGAGAATATCACTTGCTTTTATAATCTTAAAAATTCGATAATTATCCAATAAAAGTGTTTTGTAATATTTGAAATGTTTCTGTACCAATTAAATTGATGCTACACCGACAGTTGAGCCCTCATCTATTAATTAATAAATAAACAAATTCGATATTCAATTACTTGGTTCAACTCAAAATTAATGAACAGAAATAAATAATATCTTCTTATGAGATTGATGACTCGCTGTGAAATTCCTTCATAGCTAAGTCAATAATCTAAAACCGCCTGGCATTGCTATAGAAATAATTGTACACGTTGTGTGTGATTCGATGGTACAAAATATGTTTAACCCTTTCGCGATGGTTTTTTTTTCAGAAAGAAATGTGTTCGTATCTAATGAAAAATTAGTTTTATCATAGTCTGTAAATAGCTCATGCGTCTGGAAGGAAAAGTAGCCTCCTTAATCGCTGGAGATTCGGTAAGTCAATAGTCTCCACATTTTATAATACAATTTTTATTAGAATACGGGCATATAATGAAAAATTTCGCTGTCCCATATATGGTAAACCCAACGCGAAAGAATTAAGTCACAGATCGTATTCATGTACCAAATTCTGAAGAAACACTGGCCAATGAAATGTAAATCACGGATTAGGAATAGTGCAACAATATCGCACCATTCACCTCCCCGAATTATTCAAAACAAAATTATTTTCTTATACGCTTGAATTACTTGTTTAATAGACACTCAACTGTCAGGAGCTCAACTGTCGTGTCATCTAAATTAATAGTATTTATCTTCGTTAATTAGTCTGAATGATCAATATTTAAATTTCCAACCATTGAATCAAAAACTCAATCTGTAAATGATAATTACATCTTCAAGTATAAATTTAGTTTTATAAATAAATTCTTCGTATTTAAAAAGAAAATATAAAGAACATTTCTTGTATGACGACCTAATATTTAATTTTTAATAAATATTTATGATATTATATTTAGAAGGGGAATGCATAGAAAATTTTTCTGCATATATATACTTGCATCAACTTATTTTTTAAAAAAAAATCAGATGTTGTAGTGATGTTAATGATAAGATAGAATATTGATCAAAACATTGTATTGTTATGGAAAATCTTTGGTTACTTCCTGATCATAAAAAAAAGATTTTTCTTTATTCTTTATTTTTACAAATAAAGAATCGATTTATGTTTTTTGTTTCTAAATCAAAAATAAATCTAAAGATTGTATTTAAATTTATTGTATAAATTCTAAGTAAAATATGATTAATAGTATCATCCATACTAAATATTCAGACATGAAATTATCAAACGATATGAGACAATTATTACTTGGAAAAATATATTCAAAAGTCACATATAAATAAAAACATCAGTTTGAATTAGTCATTATCTATACATGACGTAGATTCGTTGTTTTCGAATATGATATATTGATATTAGAAAATAATGAGAAAGAAAAAAGAGGAAGTGTGATTTAATGGATGAATGACTAAAAGAGCTAAACAATTGTATAAATAGAGAAAAAAGGTAAGCAATATTAACAAACATCGTATATCAATCCATATTGAATAAGGTAATATAAGGTACTGAGAACATGAAATTCAAGTGGATTTTTTTTCTCCTACATTTATAAATATATTTATCTAGCTCCAGAAGTTGCTTTCTATAGTATAAATCTTTTTCAATTTAACTACTGTTTTACTGAAAAAAAACCATTTTTATGACATTAGCAATTGAGACTCTTTTTTTTGTGAAATTCGTATGTAGTTTGAAAGAAAATGATAAATTTAAGTTTGTAATCAAAGGTTCATGACTCTTCTTCTCATTACAAACTTTAATAACGAAAAGAAGTCATATAAGATTTTCTAAATTTTCCTTATAAAAGTCAATTAAGCCATAGTTTTGAAAGATATTCAACATCATTGGCAACGACGAGTCGATGAAATTTATTAAGTAATACATAAGGTTTTTTGTTAAAATAATCGATATCTAAAGCAAATTTATCTTACATATAACTGAGTACATATAATAATAAGAATACGAAATTAAGAATATGATAAATAATGATCGAATAATAATAATGCAAACGAAAACGAAGATTGATCGTAGGAAAAAAAAAATCTTTTTAATCGAAATACAGAAATAAGAATGTTTCTAACACTGATGTATAAGTAAAATGTTTAAATAATTTTATCAAATATGTTTTTTTTTTATTTTTTATTTTTTGTCATTATACATTTATCATAATCATATAAAAATCCACTTCTAAACCTATCTTACTATTAGATCCTATATGAGAGCATAATGATAAAAAAATAATAAATGTCTATGGGTGTTCTACTAATATTTTTTTTTCATCGTCAAAAAGAAACAAACGAGTACCAAAATTCTCCAATATATATATATATTTCGACTTGCTGTCTTAAAATACATTCTCTTAACAATTAATTAAGTTTAATACAATAATGTTTATATGATAGTTCAGATGTTACAAAAAAGCTTTTTGAATTTCTAATCAACTCAATTTACTCGATAAATAAAAAAGAGTTTATTAATTATTTTTTTTTCTTATTATGTAGATCTTGTTTTCATCATTATAAGAAACTATTCTGAACAAGATTGAAAATAATGCGTTCAGTGACTTTTATTTGGTTTCTACTAGGTAGTAAAGTTTAAAACACGAAAAATGATTTTTAAATCAATTCTATGAAACTTCTAAATAGAATGTATATGTCTTGCAACTGCATTGAAATGTTATCTGTGCGTTACGGACAACCAGCCGACTTGTAATGATCCGTTCAATAGACAATCTACAAGTAACGCACAAATGATACAGTATAGTGATAGTACAATATGTGCGGTATGTTATCAGGCTTCCATTTCTTTTTCATAGGATTAATACTATTATATTGTCTTTACACATATTCAGAAGGCGATAATTGTAACCAATGGTTATGTTCGCACGGCTCGTTTTGGTATAAGTGACCCTATATATTGTGTTGGAGGAATAAACGGATGTAAATCTGGAAGTCAAGGTGGCACTTGGGCTTCTGTGTGCTGTTGCACTTCGGACTTATGCAATAAAACATCTACACTTCGACATAAACCAATTCTTATTATGATCATGATCACAATGATTATTATCGCATATCGATGTTTTTAAGACATGAAAATCATTTTTGACTTTCTTTTTTAATTTATCTACATACCTCTTTAAACTCAAATAAACTTTGATTATCTTCGTCTTTAATTTTATGTGGATTTTCTTAAGATTTTTTTGTCCTAATAAATATGATTTTCCGTTCCCAAAAAATACAACTTTTATTCGTATTGTAACGAAATTCTGTCAGTAGCTAATGAGAGTATAAATGGCACCTTCCATTAGTACACAGGAAAAGCTCACACGCTCTTGTCTTTATTTCTGGAATAGTAAAAATAAAATTGTTGTGAGAGTCATTCTGACTATCAGAAGTGGTGACAAAAATCCTTCGTTCTGGATTTATCTGATCCGATCTACTTTAGAATGTTTTCAAATTAGTACCAATAATGTTTTTGAATTCGTTAAAAATGTCTAATTCTCTTATATTGTATTAATGTATTACTCCAATATTAGTTTTTTTTTATTGATTTATTTTGATAGAACCAAAACAATAGCAAATTCCTATGGTAAGTAGAAAATTAAAACTGAAATAAAGAGTGTTTCAGAATAATTAATGATAAATCATTGATACTTTTTGTACTTGCCTTCTGTATGAATAGAGGTGAAACTTTTATCTTATTGACATATTTTATTTCTGAGAATTTCAACCATCTAGTTTTAAATAACGGTGATACGCATTGACAAGATCTTGAGGTTATAAATGTGACTAAAAGAGAGGATAACAACCAGCAACATAGTGAAAATTATAGAATAGCTATGATTTTAATTTCTAAATGATAATTACATAGTATTCATTTAAATGGAAAGTACATATCAATATAATAACTCTAAAAATGGAAACTACTCATTTAAATATTGTCGAATATGAAGTTTATAATTAACAGGTTATAATATTTCTAATAGTTCACAGGATGAACAGTTGTGAAATGTTTAAGAAGCTTCCAAAAGAGATTATCAATAGAAAGTGTTCTTTTTAATTCATTGAAAAAAAAATATTCAAGATACAGATTAGAATGAAGATGAAATCAAGAAGAATAAATCAATAAGTATTACTCGAACATAGATTCAAAATAATTTAAGTCATACATATTTGTTGAATATACGACATTATAAATACCTTTTATATTTATTTCAATAATCAATCCAAAATATAACGAGTCAACCAAGATAATCATGAGATATAGCGAAAATATACATAGTTAGAAACTGAAATTCTTTTCTTAGAGATAATTAAATAATGGTTGAATGTTAATCAATATTATTATGACCGTAGAAAGATGTTAATCAACAAAATAATACAAATTCTCTTTTATTATTTTTTCGTAGGATTATATTATATTAATGATTAATTGAGATAATAAAGATAATATCTTATATAAACCCATACAAATAATTTCTTCATAGATGTAATTCAAATCAATAGAAAATATGTGTGATAAATTTTAATGATCATTATTACATTAATTTTCGAACATGTAGAATTTTTTGGTAAAGAAAGAATAAAAAAAGTGTTATGTTTTTTAGTAAATGTTTTTAATGTTGTTTTGAATAACGATATTGTCTATAATTGAAATGATTTATGAAAAAGATGAATTAAGATTCAAAAATAATGAACACTTTACATTGGAATAACTTTTTTAATTTAAATACAGAGTTAACTATTCGAAAATTTAGTTTTTGAGGCTAAATAATAGTTCGATCTTTAACTTTTATAGTCCATGATATTTTCAATACAACTTCCTCGTTCATATTAAGAGTTAAGATAATAGGGATTCCTTTATATGAATCAATGAAATTTGTAAGAAAACAACACCTATTCGTACCTTCGAAAGATTTTTGCTCGATTGAATTTGAAACCAATTTATTGTTTTATTAGAGTTTTCTTTCTTGCGCGTAAACAGACACTCCTACTTTAATACTTTAAATTAAAACAATCTTTTTCAAATGAATCTATTTTATTTTCACTATATTTTTTGTATTCTTCCAACACAATATTGTGTAAAATGTCGAAATATAGTTGTTTGTCATAAAAAGAGAATATTCTTTTATTTCTTAATTCTTAGAAATTAGATCAATAATTAGAAATAATTTTCATTAAATGTAAACATTCGAGAGTGGATATGAGGCGTTCAAAGAAATGGATGAATTGCAAGATATTATAATAAATTGATTGAATTAATATGTCAGGTTAAAAAAAAATTTCATAGGTTATCAACGGTCTTAGTGAAAAACATCGAAAAGAAAATTTTCGATTTTTATTTCTGTTTATTTTTGTGTTGGGAATTGATTTAGTGATTTTAGCCAGTTGAGCTTGAACATGTTGATGTTATTCGCTAGTACATGACGTTGATATTTTATTCTGTAGTCATGAAGCTCTACTGATGTTCTGTTGGTCTCATTCTAAAACACATAAAATCATATAGATATGATTGTAACGGTAGTGGCTTAAGATTTATATTAGTATTCAGAACGCGTATTATTAAACGATAGAGTATGGAAATGAAGCAATTAATATTTTTCAATAAAAGAAAATTCGTTTGTTTCTTAAATGTTTCATGTGAAAATTCTTCGAAGACTTGTTGTCTTTCATCATATGTAGATGTTCTTTCTTGAAGTTCATTTTTAACTTATGCACGTAAAATTCAATCGAAAAGATTTTCTTCAACCATTTCATATAAATCGATAATATATAGGAATTGAATAGTGACAAACAATGGTTGATAGAGAATTGTGTCATTTAAAGAACTATTGAGACACATATAATATTTAACAAATTTTTCAATTTTTGTTGTATCTGATATAGTGTCTAATATATTTTTTCTTAGATAGATAAATATATTATCGAGTAAACCAAGATAATTGAGCATATTATCATTAGTTATAAATATGTTCCAGTCGAATTGATTGAATTGCAAGACGTTATCATTTAGTCTCTTTTCTAACGTTCTATTTAATAATATCATGAAAATATTTAACCCTTTATCCCCCACAACAGTTCTAGAAGTGACATTAATAAAACAATCAATGAAATGGAACATTGTTATCCTTAGTAGTTCAATAGTATCATCAGATTGGTTAGAATCCTTTGCATGTACGCACGGTGATTTGACAACTTCAGTTGCCATTGGGGGGGGGGGGGGGGGGGGGGGGTAAGGACATGAAAACCCCTTTTTTGGCTTTTTGAAAATAGTTTATGTTTTTCGAAAAAAAAAAGCATATATTGTTGTGTTCTAACAATACAAACAATAAAAGACTAAAACATAAAGGATATTCTTCTTTTTCCTACGACATATGAGTATCTGAAGCAAACTGTATGCACACAACCTCTGATTTTCTCGAAAAATAAATAAGCCCATAGGTTAAGACCATAATTATTGATACCCTATTCTTCAATTCCCAATATGATAAGATCTGAAAGAATTAGTGTGAGTGTTGGTGTTGATTTGAATGTAGTTTGAGTACGTTCTTGTCCAATTTGAATGCTTATATCTATCTACATCTGCTCCAAAAATTTATATAACTAAAAATGATACTCATTTTTATAAATAATACATAGGGTAGTCAAAAAGTTCTTGCAACAACAGTCTAAAATTTCACCCTCATTGATTTTATTCATCATGTTAGCCTATTCTAGTAGCGACATCTGTTATGTATTAAAACACCAATACAAAGTTTTCATAAGTGTCTATGATGGCAAATTTTTAACGAATTTTTTGAACACCTCTGTTTTCAGATGGATAAACGGTGTTGACGTTCATATATAAAAACTCGTTGGTTATTAGGTTTAACTGCTACACAAATTCATGATGAATTAACTACTGCTTATGGACAAGGTGTTGTTTCATATCGTACAGTTGCTCATTGGATTCATCGATTTTCAAGTGGACGGGAGTCGTTAGAAGATGATTCTCGAAGTGATCGTCCAATAGCCATCATTACTCAACAAAATATTGATGCTGTTAAAGACCTGGTGCAAGATGATCCTCATATTAGTACTGATTATACTGCTGACATCTTAGATATATCACATGGTAGTGTGTATATCATTCTCAAGGAACACCTAAAGTTAAAAAAAATATCGTCAAGATGGGTACCTCATAAACTCACTCCAACACAACAACAACGACATATGAATGATATCGTTTTTAAATATCTTCAAGAAGAAAAAATCAAAGTTATGGCTCATCCACCATACTCACCAGATCTTGCTTCTTCAGACTTTTGGTTGTTCAGACTTTTGGTTGTTCAGTTGTCTGAAACGTAGTCTTGATACATATCCAGATGCTACAAGTTTAGCTAAAGCAATAGCCAGCGAGCTCAATTCAATACATATTCAAGAATATCAAAAGACATTCCAGAAGTCGATTGAAACGATAAAACTTTGTATTGAACATCATGGGGACTACTTCGAACATTTACTGTAAAAAGATTAGCAAAATGTTTTTTCTATGAATAAATATTTGAAAGTGCGAGAACTTATTGACTAACCTATGTAGTAGTTCGTTTACCTATCTATATGTCGACACAAAAGATTATTGCATTTGGACAAGAATTTCTAAATTTTTTTTAATGTCCTTACCCCCCAATGGCAACTGGATTTGCCATTGTATGCATTCCAACCTCTTGTTCGACTAATCTTTTTGAGAACTTTGAAAAACATTTCGTTCGACAGCAGGAACTTTTAGCAACATTTCTCACACAAAATATCAACAAGATATACATTGCTCGTAAATAAAACCAACAAAAGAAGAACAAGGGGTCCCTTTTTTCAAATAATCGTCTACTCTTCTGTTTTGTAAGTTTTATGTCTTGGAAACAGAGTTACGATTAAAGGTTTTTTCTTGCCGATTGGTAGTTCAGGAAGTTTTCTACCGAAAATATGCAAGAAGATTCTGAACACTTCAAGTGCTAAATTTTTTACGGTGTTTCTAAAAATAGCAATTCCAATTGCCAATGGGGGGGGGGGGGGGGGGTTAAATTAGTTGGTCATGAAGATTAATAGGAAGGCTGTTGGTAAGAATAGTTTATTCATAAAAATCTCCCGCTCTTGGATAAATTCGAATTTATTTTTACGAAAAAAACATATCTCTAAGCCGAATATTTCAGATATTCAATTGATCGTCGCCTCGTTTCAAACAATGTTCTGTCTTGAAGTGAAAAAATGGTTTATCATTTATGAATATGATATTTCTTCGCCCAAACAGATCAAACTCCAATCGATAACAGTCTGTGTACCTTCTCACTCTCAGATATCACAATCAATAAAAGTGTCAATTTCGACTCACTCTACTATAGCTGACATGAATGCAACTATCATAATAATTATCGATAAGATAATATTCGATTTCAAACAATCGTCATTCAATAATATCGAACAGCAGGTATGAGATATTGAGAATATGATTCTCTGTATGTATGAAATCTGTTTCAGTGAGAATAGAATCGCGTCTGTTGATCAATGTGGGTGTGGGTATTGTTCTATTCTTAACTCATACCAACACCTACCCCACAACCTAGAACTAGACCCACACTCACCACCCACACTCACACCCACACCTACACCCTGCACCCACACCCACACCCACACCCACACCCACACCCACACCCACACCCATACCCATACCCAGCAGATCTCATTTATGTATATAATCTATCTATTAATCTCTAATAAATATTTCACTAAAAACGCTTTGGTACAAATACTCGACTACGAAAGATCTTGTCATGTATAAATAGTTATATAACAAAAGCCTGACAAAGTGTAAGCCGTCGTAGGCAGAATAGAGAATAATCTGTATAACTGTGTAGTCTGGAGCAGACGTTTTGATTAAATTTCTAAATATTGCCTTTTAAGTCGGGTCCATCTGGATGGGTCACTAGACGCAGTTTTTAACGCTGATTACGAATTTGATATTGATCTTCTCAAAAAGTTAGATTTTAATGTAGAAAGAAATATTTTTCAAAAATGCGAAAGACATGCTATTCGATACAGAATATCATTCTCTACAAAACTCGCATTCAATTTATAAGCTCTCATGTCGACATATCGTATCACTAATTCTATCCGAATTGAAACTCCAAATCAATAAAACGAGATAAGACTTTATTTAGATTTTCGTTTTTGACTATTTGAATATACAAGATGTTTCAAACAATTAACGATCAATATTAAAAAACTTGTAGACATAAAAACAAACTTCATCAACCCAGCATAACAAGCTAATTTCATTACTGAGTCATGTCGATTTGGATAAATTTCCAGTACATATTTTTCTGCGAGATTTTCAACATACTCAAAAATCATATACAGAAATGGTCCGACTATATACTGATGTCTTTTTCCCATAGCCAAATTGGATAAAGATAATGAAAGAAATAGTAAAACTGGGAAAACAAACTCGGCGTAATTTGTTAGTCGATAGGCATGACGACCATTTTCTCCCAAATTTGAAAGAGTTTGATAACCTTCTTCTGGTGTGTAATAAGTCATAGTATCAAGAATAGTTGGCATTCTATTCAAACCGATAGATGCTGCATATTCTTGTAATGGTTTCATACAAAGATGAAAGTTGAATACTGTCAGCAACCATATCAACAAAATACTATATCGATTAGCCAGAGGTTTTAACATACGATAAAGTTTCTCCATTAAAATTGACTATGTATGCTGTCTTTATTTCTAAACGACTGAAAAATATTCACCTTTACATTTGACGGTAAAAACATTACATTACACGTGGTTATATATAAGTAAATTTTTTGTTTTTTGTTTGACGAACATTGAAGAGAAAGAAAAACAGTCGACCGTCATTATTTCACCTTGTGTCGTTATTCCAAACTAGGTGTTGGAGAAAAAAATATATGTCTTCACATGATCCACTCTGGTCTAATAAACGAATCACTTAAAGAGAGTGATAGTTGCTAATCTACACCCTCACTTAAGCAGTATTCGACGGTATATAAACAATTTTCTACTGTATAATCAATGAGATAACACTTCTTATGAGTTTCATTATTAAAATCCTTTCGTTGTATCACAGGCATCCTAACTTCATTTACATATTCTTCCATCACCTGCCTCATGTTTCATCAAGCGAGATAAAATAATTTATTTCATGGAGAAGTGAATAGAACATGTTATGGTAAAATCTTTATTATATAAACTTCTCAAGTACCATGCTGTCATATTCTGTTTAAACTAAAACAAAACTGTTTTTTTTTAAATGTCTATGCTATAACAACACGTTGTACCAAACCAACTTAGCCAGGTGAATGAGCACCTAAATCATCAAATCACTGTGGGATTTAAAACTAGCCGAGTTATAACTCCAGTTATAACTTTTAAGTTATAACCGATCAACTTTTCGGTGAAAAAGTTAATTCACTTATAACTATCAATCACAGTCATATCCTTTAACCTCAATTATAACCTTCAACCTCAATTATAACCTTCAACCACAGTTATAACCTTCAACTGCAGTTATAACCTTCAACTGCAGTTATAACTTTCAATCATAGTTATAACTATCAACTGTAGTTATAACTTTCAACTTCAATAACTTTCTTAATTTTTTGACTAGAATTAATTAAATCGAAATGGTAATTACTTTGAATTATTGGCACGTTTCATAGAATAGATGGAAATACATATATTTGCAATGTTCTTTAATTCAGAAAAGCAGTGTTTTATAAGTCCTTATTCAGTACTTTTAATGTATTCATCTCCAAGCTACATTTTCTTCTATTTATACGACAAAATGACTTGGAATTGGGTGTGGCTGTGACTGTGGGTGTGGATGGGTGGGTGTGGGTATGAGAGTGTGAATGTGGGTGTGGGTGTGGGTGTGGGTGTGGCTGAATATCTTATTTACCAGCACCTACACACACCTACCCTCCCCCACACCCACATCCACATTCACACCCACACCCACACCCACCGACACCCACATCCACATCCACACCTACACCCAC